AGCGACAGTTTGAGAAAATCATCTTTCTAAAGAATTTTTTTGTTCCAACTGACTGAATTTAGGCTGAAAATAAATCAAAATTTCTGAAAAGGAGGAGAAATATTCGTTTCCAGAGGTCGGGAGCACGGGATCTGCACTCCCATCCCACGAGACTGAACACGAGCTGACATATTGCAGCGAGCATGTCAGATCTATATAGCCTAACAAGAAAGCAATCAAGGATTCATACCAAAATCAAGTCTATGCCTGACTATGAAATTTAGGGATTAGCTTGTTCGTGAAGAAAACAGAAACATGATATTGCGATGTATTGCGATGGAAAGGCAAACCTTGATAGTCGTCCATTGATCGCCGCGCCTGCTGCCCGGACGGAGAGAAATCCGGAGATGTTGAAAGATGAACAACATGAAAGAGCAGGGCAAAGGGCTGCCGCTTGCACCTCTGCTCGATCTGCAGACGAGGGCCTGCCCACCGCCGGCTAGCTGGGCGAATCTTCAGCGATCTGGGATTGTAGATGGCGTGAGGCAGAGGATAAGAAAACGGGGAAAGAGAGAGAGCAGCAGGCCTTATGTCAGCTGGACGTGACCTCCATCGGAAAGCACGGCTGCACAAGGGGCCGGCTCCCTCGCGGGCCCATGAGGTCAGTGGTTACAGGGTACTTACGTTGGTTCACCTCGGGAGTCACCAACTCGTGCCGACCAAGGAGCGATCTGAGATCTGACCCGTGATTTACCGGAACGGAAAGTAGAACCTGGCTGACGTCTCCGAGTCAGGCTGCAGGTGGGAGTGGGCATAAGTGGGACTAATTAAGCCCATCCCACTTAATCATCTTGGTGGGCACCCGTTGGACAGCAGAAAAAATAAGTGGGCTGTCCCATTTAGCCCGCTGGGAACCCACCACACCACTAACCCAGTCTGCAGGCTCCTCTCGATGGAGACTGGAGAGCGCCGCCGACGACTTCCGCGCCATGCGCAGCCGCCTGCTGGAGATGCTGACGGTGCTCCCGGCGACGGCTCGTCCCTCCGGAGCGTAAGAGGCAGTTGCCCAGCATCATGGACCGGTCGGTGCCGGTGTACCAGCTGGGAGCGATGGACTCGGACGAGACCACGAGGGCCAGCATGGACACCGACCGTGCCCGCATGGCCGCATCGCATTCCGCGCGAGGTCGAGCGCGACCAGGCCGGCGCCACACCCCATGCTGGAGAGGCTGTACGCGGCGACGTCCTCCCGCATGCCGAAGCGGGGCACGACCCTGCAGGCAAGCGACGGCGCCGGGGAGATGAGGGAGACGTTGACGACGAGCATGTCGACGTCCGCGGGCGCCACGCCGGTTCTGACGAATAGCTCCACGATGGCCTCGTCGAAGAAGGCGTCCATCTCGTCGAGCGCGTCCCGGTGGGTGAGCGAGTCCTCGCGGCACTCGAGGATGCTGCGCAGGCCGTAGCTGTGCTCTCGATGCCGGAGCGCACGATGACGCGGAGGAGGAACCGGAGCTCGGGAGGCCGAGGTGCTTGTTGCGCAGGATCACCTCGTCGTCGCTCTGGTGGAGTTCATACAGCTCAACATCTACGGCTCCATGACCACAGAGAGTCATCATCTCTGCTCATGGGCAGCCACGGGACATGCATCACGACGTGCTTCACAAGGACCACGACGGAGTGAGCGGAGTCTGAATTCAGCAATGTTAAGCAGCGAAAGAGCCCAGCTCCCCTGTTAAGTGGGATGCCCACTTATTCCCACATAATCTACGTTTATTTGGTGGGATGCCCACTTTACGAACATCAAACTGTATTGGGACGAGGTGGATTTTAGTGGGACTCCCACCTCTAATCCCACTTGCAGCCTGAGGACCAATGGCCTGGTCGCAGAGCATCGGGCTGGCCTGGACATGGTGCTTCCCTGCTAGCCCCGGTGCCAAATGAACGGTGGCACGGCGCACCAATTATTTAATTTGATAATTAAAGCGGTTTGATTTATGATATCGGTTTATGTTAATCAATGCAGTTTACCTAGCGCCTCCACAACCTGAGACGTGGAGGCCGATTAGGGTCGCCTGAATAGGCGCTAGCCGCTAGGCCTCCATGCGCGCGGGTGCTGGATCACCACGGCCGCCGCATCGGCCGTCTTCCACATAGCCGGGGCCAGCCGAACCAACAATCCTGCACGAGCCAAAGGAAGGCCATGGCCAGCCCAGCAGCACGGCGGACACCGCCTCCGCCGACTCCTGCCGCCAGGTCAAGGGCGCGCCTTCCTCAGCACTCCGATCCGATACTCGTGGCATATATCCCGGAGGAACGCGCTCGACGACGACGAACGCCGGACTAAGGAGGCGATGCGAAGGAGGGGTTGGAGGGGACAGACGGGATTTAGGATGAGATTTGGGATCGATGAATGAAGTTGACCAGGTCTGGGGTCGGGCGGCGCTACGTTGGGGCTGGAAGGATTTTGGGCCGGGCCCCGACACCGGCCTGTTATACTAGTGCTGATTTGATGAGTAGTATAATTTATACTAGTCTTCTTTTTAGCACTAGTATAATCTATTTAGGGCCTTTAGATCCACTCAAATGAATGGTTGTTATTCATTTGAGGGTACCTTAAAACAGCTCTAAAAATGGAGGGAATTCCTCATTTGACACTACTTTCAAATATGATTCCTTACTTGACACGAAACCTTTTCACTCCCTTATTTGACACGTAGTGTAAATATTTTTGCCTTATATGAGACTAGTGCATTTTGATAGCAAACAGTGTTAGTTGAAGGCTAGAAAGATGCTTTTGCCCCTAGTGACAAACAAATTACAAAACAAATGTTGTTGTATTGCTCAGGGTTAAAATACCAAACAGGGCCCAAAACATGTTAGCTAGTCATGGAATCAATTTTATTTCAACAACACATTACTGTTTACGTGCGTCGGCTAAAAGCAGAAGTCCAGCACGCATACAGGCGGGACGACGTAGGTAGGACAGGAGGGACGCGCTGTAGTCGCCGAACCGTGACAAGCTGCTAATAACCTGAAGACAAAGCACTGAAACTGGATTGCGAGAGAGAGTTTGTGCGCAAATTAACATCCTGCGGCTCTTTTGTTTTTTCGTTCTTTTTTTTATCGATCTAAAGACATGCAAGAGCATCCAGCTACTGATCCTAATCTCACGCCTCGTCCATCCTGCTGCTCCGCCAGCACACCTCATTGCTGGATGTAGAGCAGGCCACGAGCACTGCACCGCACGCCTTCTCACTGGACTAGGCCCCCCGTGCTCGTCGGCAAGCACGCCGATGCCCAGTGCGTCTCCTTCCTAGACGTCAAGGGTATTTTAGTCCACCCTAAAAACATTTGACGGAATGACATGACAGACGGATCAAACGGCAGTGTCATATAAGGAAAAAATTACACTTATGAATTATTCCCTCCGTCCCAAAATAGAAGATGTTTTAGCTTTGTGAGGCAAATGTATCTAGTTCTCTTTTAGTGTAGCGAACGTACACACTAAAAGAGAACTAGATACATTTGCTTCACAAAGCTAAAACATCCTATATTTTGGGATGGAGGGAGCACTACACCACGTCCTCAAATAGATGGCACTCAAAAGTGCCTTCTAAAGTATCAAAAGTGCCTATAATTGTTTCTAAAGGCATAAAAAAAAGTGCTAGGGAATGTTTAGACTAGAAAGGTATTTAGTGACACTCCTAAAAAGTGCCTTCTAAAGTGAGATTTAGAGGCACTATTGATTTTGCCTCTATATATCTTTGGGGGCAACATGAAAAGTGCCTTCTAAAGTTAGAGGAAGGCACTAGTGATATTACCTCTTTATTTCTTTCTAGGCAATTTCAAAAGTGCCTTCTAAAGTGAGATTTAGAGGCACTATTTAGATTGTCTATATTTATCTTTGTAGGCAATTTCAAAAGTGCCTTCTAAAGCAACATGTGGAGGCACTATTAATATTGCCTCTATTCCTTCTAAGACAAATTCAATAGTGCCTACTATAGTTATATTAGAGGCACTTATCATGCACCATTTCCAATACAAATCCATTACAGCCATGCTTTTACACAGATAGTACAACAGCTATAAACAGTACATTTCAATTTAGATTTCAAATCAACCACGACATTCCGTTTACAATTCAAATCAAAATCAACCACACCAACATTCAGTTTCGACCTAACAATGAAGATCTAGCAGGAGCACATGATCTCCAGCAGCAGCAGCTCGCCTGCTCCTCCACACGCGACAGCTCGACAAGAAAATTAATGGCCAGAAGAAATATTTAACGCAATTTAACTCTGAAAGAAAATAAGCTTGACAAGAAGCAAGTTACACTCGAGTTCTAGGCTTGTAGACAGCCTCTTGGCCCCGATGTGCATAGTAAATACAATAACACTTTAACAGAAAGATCAGAATAGAAAGAGAAAATAGACAACTTTGTGAATTAATAGAAAGTTGGTTTCAGTCCCAACTTTGTGAAGTAGTTGCAGCTAGGATCAGAGTTGAGGATTTCTCAAGTTATATGGTACTTCATGTAGTTGTGAATTAACAGAGCAATATCACTAACTGAACTCCTGTACTGAGAAATACTTGGCAAGAGAGTACACTACTTTGATGATCATAATGTTTTTAGTGTTATAACATGCACTTATTGAAAATCAGATCATCTAAAGCAAGCACTAGAGCAGCAGAAGTCACAAATAACCAAGTAATCAATAGACGAACAAGTAAGGCATCTCAATACACATGCCACTGGGAAATCTATATTTTACATGTGTAAAACTGAGCATATCATGGTCCACAATCATGTAATAATCCACTACAGCAGCTACAGATCATTGTAAATGACTAAATCATAACAATTATCATCATCACAACAACTGAATATGAAACCATCAGCGTAGACACTAAAAATCATAACTGTCCAACAGCAAATGTTTTTCCAATAAATTTAAGTTTTTCCAATATATTATTTCTCAGGCTACTAATATCAAATCTGGAAAATGAACCACATACTAATATCGGGGTACTAATACAAATATAGTAATAGCAATGGAATATGGTGATACCTGCAACGTCTGGATGTATTTCTTTGATCTGTCCAGGTCTTTTTTGCCCAAACTTAATTCAAAATAATCTCCTCTATCCATGTCCTGGAAGCAGCAAGCTTCAGCTCAGTATAGAAAAACAATGATGTCAAAAGAACATTCTTCAGCAAACCATGACAGACTGAAAGCAAATGATCAAAAAGACTCATGGTGTGATTTAATTCAGCGAAGTATGGTTATTACTGTAGCATAAAACATAGAAGAGAAGAATAGAAAAAGTTACCGACTGCCCCTGGTAAACCTTCTCGATTGCTTCACTAGCAGCACTAGCTTTTAAGATAGCATCGCTGGAGGCACTTGATTCCACGCCATACCCAGAAGCACGCCACTGGGGCAAACCTCCATCCAAAACCCAGACTTTGTCATGTCCATAAGCACGAAACATCCTGGCATCAAGAGAGCAAGCATCAGAGTAGGAACGAACCATATTGCAAATGTATTGGTAAGGAAACTCTAATAATTTAAGAACATATAAGAACAATAGTCTCTTGTTTCTGCCATAATTCTGCTCTAACTTGTTTTAATTAGTTCCGTGGAAGGAAAAAAATAAAGAAACTTACCACCAAACACGAGCGGCGCTAAATAGCCCCTTTCCATCGTAAACATCTTTGCTGTAGATGCCAAGGGAAGATACAGCAGCATAAAATGCTTTTTCAAATGGCAGCATGTGTGGCAACTGAATAAAAAAAGAATACATTAAGTTCATGTGACTGTTGAAAATAGCAAGTGAAGACCAACATAGGGAAGAACTGGAACAGAAACTTTTCTACCACCAAACTAGTTAGTGCAATGCTAAGCAGCCTGCCCGTGTAGCTACGAGAAACCTAACTTCAATAACTCTGTGACTTTGAATCAACAAATAAGGATTGCTAAAACAGGAATCGGCAGATCACAACACAAACAAAAGAAGGCTATCTGGGTGTATTCAGTGTGTATCATATAACAGCAAACGTTTTAGTTTGCCTGTTTTGAACTTTCATTATTTGGAATTGGCTAAGGCTATTTCTGCCGATCTGCAAAAGAATAGCACATAAGGTGTAAACCCCTACAAATGTCCATGCCCATAGATTGTTGTATTGAGCCAGATGTTTGGTTTCACTAATAAAGAAACTGGGGCGGTTACCATGTCCTTGTATAAATAGACGAAGGAGGTTTACATCATTTCTTTACCTAGCGTTCTTGCCTACTAAAGAAGTGCATAAATGCACAGAATATTGTTATCATTTACAGTTAAATATACCGCTAAACAAGTATGGAGAAAAGCGAGGATATCAGAAGTAAAGAAATGCAGAATTGCAGAGCGATGTAACCATGTAGTGCACTAATAAAGCTCATAAGACTAATTAGTTAACTGTCGGAAATCTCACGCTGAGCAGAGTGCGGTGCTGGCACACTAACCTCGATGATCCATCTCACGCTGAGCAAACGCACTGTCGGAAATTCAGTTAAAAGTACACACAGTAGATTAGGGACATCCCGATCGATCTCACGCTGAGGAAACGCACGGGCGGAAAGGAACGGGACTCTGCAGCTTGGAGACGGCGGCGGCACTGACTGCAATCAGGAGGGGCGCGCTCAATGACCATCCAGGCGTGAAAGAAGTCGCGCACTGCGGCGTCGCACCTCCAATCGCAGACGACGAGGTCTCCCCCGTCGAAGCAGATGAAGCAGACGACCTCCTCGTCGTCCTCCTCCTTCTTCCTCGCCGCGGCCTGCCTCGCGTCCGCGGCGGTTAGGGCGGGGGCGGGGGCGGCGACCATGACCACCCGAGCACCAGGACGGCCGCCGGAGTTCAACTCCGACGAGGGGCGCAAACCCTAGCTCCCATGCGGGGTAGGGCACAGCCGCACGAGGAGGCGCCCCGAAAATCTAAGAGGAGGAGATGATAAAGGGCGGCTAGGTGCGTCGTTCGCGCTAGGCGACGGCGGCAGAAACCACCGGAGGCGGCCGGGGTTGAGCGGCGACGGCGGCGGCGATTTCGGTCGCAAGAGCGAGGAAGAGGAGAAGGGGAGGACGACGCGGGGCGTGGACTGGGTTGACCGGCTCGGTCGAACCGGTTGCTTCGACCCAGCCGGCCCACATTCAGTGGGTGCAATTTCGTCATTTGACCTAGGTTTAATTGAAAATACCCTGAATTATATTGTGTCAACTTGCATAACTTACGTGAATAATTCTGCAAAGTAACCTTGGATAGATGGTTAGGGCATCCGCACCGGCCAGACCCATCCGAACTACCCAAACCGTCCGTTTTTGTCCGGATGGATCGCGGGTTGGACGTTTTGCGTCGGTGGTAATTTTTGATCGATGCTCCAGCGGTGTATCCCAAATTGTCCGCCCCGGCCTGCATCAGTGCAGTTTCAGTTTCGTCAGAAGTCTGAAACATCATGCCTGCCCTGCCTCGCCGTCGATGTCGTCCTCGTCGAGCGCCGGGAATGGAAACCCCATGTCGTTCTCGACCTCCTCGCTGAGTATTTGGGGCTGACGCCGTTCAGGACGTCGTCGCCAAGATCACAGTAGGGCGAGGTGGAGCAGCTCCGCTGCAGCGAGATGACGATGTCCACTTCCGACAGCTATTCCCCGGGGTCCTGCACCTCGCCGGCCCAGCCTTCCGCGTCAGGTGACTCGGTGGCGGTCCAGTCCCCGAAGTCCGACCAAGAGCGCCCGCCGAGTCCTCTGATTTGGTCCAATTTTTGTAGCCACAAATCGATACAAACTAGTAGTAAAAATTAAGAGGAATCAAGATGAAAAATCAAGTCGTGGGGCAGATTAAAGATTGGAGCAGCACCGAGAGAGGCGGTTGACCACGTCCCTGCTCGGCCATGGCGAGGAGGAACTCCTCCGCTCGCATCCAGTCCCGTACTGACCGTGCGATTGGAACTAGAGCAGCAGTAGCTTGGCCCGTCTCCATGCAAGAATCAAAGCAAGAGCAGCAGCTCCACCTGTGCGATTGGGAGCAAATCATGGAGGAATTAGAGCATGGAGGAATCATCGTGTGGTTGGAATCAGAGCGGCAGCAGCTCCACCCGTCTCGAAGGAGGAATCAGGGCAAGGAAAAAAGAGAGGAAAAAGTGGAGCGGCTGCTCCACCCGTCTCACTGTGGTGATCTGGACGCGAGCGTAGCAGCAGCGGCGGAGGAGCTTGATGATGTCACTCGAGTTGGGAAACCCCAAGAGGAAAGTGGTGATGTAGATATCAACAAGTATTCCCCTTAGTTATGAAACCAAGGTTTAATCGAACAGTAGGAAACAAAGAATGGCACCAAGGTTGAAGTAGAGACCTGCACAACTGTAACACCCCGGATGTAATTTATCTAATATATACTCCAACTCTTGCCGTTTCCGGCGCTAAGTTATTTTATTTCCTCAGGTTCAGGTTTTTGTCTCTGTGTGTTGTTATCGTTGTCATGGATCTCATATCATGTCATCATATGCATTGCATTTGCATACGTGTTCGTCTCATGCATCCGAGCATTTTCCCCGTTGTCCGTTTTGTATTTCGGCGCTCCTATCTCCTCCGGTGGTCATTTCTGTCTTCTTTTCGTGTGTGGGGGTTAAACATTTCCGGATTGGACCGAGACTTGCCAAGCGGCCTTGGGTTACTACCGGTAGACCGCCTGTCAAGTTTCGTACCATTTGGACTTCGTTTGATGCTCCAACGGTTAACCGAGGGACCGAGAAGGCCTCGTGTGTGTTGCAGCCCAACACCCTTCCAATTTGGCCCAAAACCCACCAAAACCCTCTCCATCATCTAGAGCGTTCGATCACAATCGCGTGCCCGAAAACCGCACCTCATTTGGACTCTCCTAGCTCCTTCTATGTCTATAAATAGCCCCCCTCCGAAATTCACGTCTCCTTCCCCCGAAACCCTAGATCCACTCCACCCGCCGCCGCCGGACGAAATCCCGCAGGCCAGACATTGTCCGCCGCTCGCTCGGACCAACCGGGGCTTGCCATGTGGCCCGCGCGTCCCACTTCGCCGTTCCCGCGCCGCCGGCCCGCCCGGGCCCAGGCGGGGCCCTCACGGCCCGGTCGCCCCGCGCCCTTGCTTCCCCGCGGCCGAGCCGCCTCGCTGCCATGGCGCCATCGCCGCCCGACGACACCTCCTCGCCCCGGCGCCACCCCACCGCGCCGCTTCCGCCCCGCGACTCCGGCCACGACCACCGCTGCGGCTCCGGCCCCGCGCCTCCTCCTCCGACCGGCCTCTCCTTTCGCGGCAAGTCCACTCCGGCGAACGACGAACTCCGGCGAGCTTCCCCTGCGAACCTCGAGTTCCGCGCCTCGGATCTGGAGTTTAGGGTTGACTTTATCCCCAAAAACCCTAATATTTTTGCAAACTTCATCGTGCCGTAACTTTGCATCCTTAGATCCGTTTTAGGCATGTAGCATATCAAAATATTTATCTCAGAGAGCACATCATTTCATCTCATTGCATCATTTTCATTTTAGCTCATCTTGATGCCCGAAATGCTGTTGTAAGAGTGCTATTTGAGTTAATTGTCAGATCTGCTGCTCCAATTAGCTATTTGTCATTTTTGCCATGATTATTGTGTGCATGATATGCTTCCGAGCTCTACATGTGTTTTGTTATATGCCATGCCATCTTTCCAGAGGTGCTATCCATGTATTTTTGTGATATGTGTGGTGACTAGCACAAGCTTGCAAAGTAGTGCATTCGTTAATGCTGTTTTCAGGGACTTAGAGATTTCACTAAGTCCTTAATCTGTTTTTATCAATATGCCATATGTTCATGTTGTTTCCTAGTGTTCCGTGCCTCTTTTGAGGATGATCAGTAAGCATGATTTGTTAATCTTGTAGTGCTCTATCCATCCGTGCCTTTGTTTGCAATTATGGAGCACCCTAGTTTGAGTCAAACGAGCTCTACTTTTGCCATTTCGTGAATCTGGGCAGATTATCTACTTGTTAGCGATTTTGCCGAGGATGTTGTTGTTGATCCGTGCATGCTATGTTGTTGTTCTTGCCATGTCTAGCTTATACAATGTGTATTCTTGATGGGTGTATGCTTAGATTGTCATGACTTGCTCTATAGTGAGTGCATCGAGCTCGTGAACATGCCTACTCGTTAACATATTTGCATGCTCCAGTTTTTCACTAAGTCTGAGATCTGATTATGTTTTTGCCATGTTCACATGCTTGCAATTGTATTTTCTGATTAAGTTCCTCTAGCATATAGTTTTCTTGCTCCAAAGTGTGCTACCTGATCTGAAATTCCAGGCTTGTGTTAATTTCACTAAGTCTGAAACCTGTTTACCAATTGCACTTTTGCCATGCTTGTTTGAACCTGTTAATGGATGATTTGGCCGTAGCTCGGTGTTCATCTTTTGTCAAGCATCATGAGTGGATCCCTTCCATGTATTTTGTTGTCTTGTTTGAGTGTTGTAGCATAATTATCTTAATGCATTTAGATGGCTACTTGCTGTTTATCGCAGACCGGTGCCATATTTGTTTTGCTTGCCATTTCCAAACCGTGTCTCCGATTCCGGTGTTTTTTATATCGAATTCAAGCGAAATCACCTCACCTTTCCAGTGGCACACTTGGATTTCCATGTTGAGGCCAGGTTCAATCATTCCTTGTCAAATCTTGCATATGCATCACATATTGCATTCCGCATAGCATCCCATGTTTGCATCATGTTGTTCGAGCATTTGCACGTGGTTGATTGTGTCCTTTTTGCTTGTTTGTCTTGTTTGGGTAGAGCCGGGAGACGAGTTCGCTAACGAGGAGCCCGTTGAGTTTGCTTTCAAGGATCCAGTCAACTCTGACTACTTTGCAGGCAAGATGATCATACCCTCGAAATCACTTCTATCTTTGCTTTGCTAGATGCTCGCTCTTTTGCTATGCCTATGCTACGATGCCTACCCCTTGCTTATCATGCCTCCCAAATTGCCATGTCAAACCTCTAACCCACCATGTCCTAGCAAACCATTGATTGGCTATGTTACCACTTTGCTCAGCCCCTCTTATAGCGTTGCTAGTTGCAGGTGAAGATTGGAGACAGTTCCTTGTTGGAACATTATTTTCTTGTTGGGATATCATTATATTACCTTGTTATCTTAATGCGTCTATATACTTGGTAAAGGGTGGAAGGCTCGGCCTTTTGCCTAGTGTTTTGTTCCACTCTTGCCGCCCTAGTTTCCGTCATATCGGTGTTATGTTCCCGGATTTTGCGTTCCTTATGCGGTTGGGTAATAATGGGAACCCCTTGACAAATCATCTTGAATAAAACTCTTCCAGCAATGCCCAACTTTGGTTTTACCATTTGCAACCTAGCCTCTTTTTCCCTTGGGTTTCTGAAGCCCAAGGGTCATCTTATTTAAACCCCCCGGGCCAGTGCTCCTTTGAGTGTTGGTCCAACCTATCAGCTGCCGGTGGCCACCAGGGGCAACTCTGGGCTGGCCTACCCGTACCTTGGACAATCTGAGTGTGCCCTGAGAACGAGATATGTGCAGCTCCTATCAGGATTTGTCGGCACATTCGGGCGGTGTTGCTGGATTTGTTTTAACTTGTCGAAGTTGTCTTGTAGAACCGGGATACCGAGTCTAATCGGAATGTCTCGGGAGAAGATATATCCTTCGTTGACCGTGAGAGCTTGTCATGGGCTAAGTTGGGACTCCCCTGCAGGGATTTGAACTTTCGAAAGCCATGCCCGCGGTTATGGGCAGATGAGAATTTGTTAATGTCCGGCTGTAGATAACTTGAACCTTAACTTAATTAAAATGAATCAATCGCGTGTGTAACCGTG